AGCGGATCCGTCCCCAGGGATAAGGGGGAGAAGCCCCCCCAGGGCCAGCCAGAGAGGATGGGATGGTGTCATCTGTGATGGTGCGTGTGGGTTCGGGTGCGTGAAGGACAATAAAGCCCTGAAGTGCTGCTTGAGCTGGGCTTTAAGGAAGCAAAAAGCACCAAAACAGCTTCTGAGAAGCTCTTAAACTTGGGCTGGGGCCAAGGAGGCACCTGAAACAGCCGGTGCCGGGAAGCGACGCCCCGGCCAGCAGCTCCGCGGTGGTTTCGCTCTCCACAAAACAGGGAAACATTTCTATTATGCAGTAGGACACAGCAGCCCTTGGCCAGGATGTGAAACCTCAGCGTGGGTCACCGCTCAAAGCTCCCGGGAGGGGCTTTTTGCACCCCAAAAACTTCAAAATCCCCCTTGGAGGCATCACCGCCCGGCTGCTACTTTATGATTTGGAGCGTCCCAATCCTCCCAGGGCTCAGCATCTCCTTGAAAATCCCCCCCAAGGAGCAGCATCCCCCCCCACCCGACTCTGAGCTATTTTTATCAGCTTGATTAACGGGATAAAAGCAAGGAAAAAAAGCAGCAGATTTTCTTCTCTCTCCCCCCCTCCCCCAGCGTCTCTTACCCGCAGACGTCCAGGGAGAGCTCGGTGCCCAGCACGCAGACGGTGCTGGTGGGACGCTGGGTGGAGAGCTGGACACGGCGCTGCTGGGCCATGCTGGCAAAGGCCCCTGGGGCACCCTTGGGTGCTGCGACGGGTGGCACGAGGGGATTTATAAAGCCTGGCTGCAGGGAGGGGATTAACCAAAGCCCGGCTTTAATCCCACCTCCGGGCTGGGTGTGCGGCAGCGCCCGGCCGCGCTTCCTGGCGATGGAGAGTGAATCAGTGCAAGGGGGGGAAACGCACCCGGGGACACCCACCAGAGTTTGGGGTTTCTTTTGAAGAACCTCGGATGTGGTTTTTCTTTTATCCCCCTGTTTTTAACACGAAGAGATGTCGACGTGACCGGCCACCCTTAAACCCACGCCGTGAAATATTCAGCGTGACACCGGAGCCGAGCTGGGGATGTGCCAGCGCTGGGCTCGCCTGGGTTTTATTTCTCCTTCTGAAGGGTTTTGTTTGTCTAGCTGGGGAAACAAAAAATTGGCTTTCATTCTTATTTTAGGCACGGGTTTGAAAGGACAAGCTGGGTGCTGGCCCTGTCCCCTGGGTGCTGGCCCCATCCCCTGGGTGTTGGCCGCATCCCCTGGGTGTTGGCCCTGTCCCCTGGGTGCTGCTTGGGCCAGGGGGTTGGGATGTCACCTGTGGTGAGGACAGGAGGACCCACCACGGTTTATAATTGTCTTTGTTCTAATTAAATCCTCGTCTCGGCGTGGGAGAGCCCATTGTGGCTGCAGCTGTCCCCCCACCAACTCCCTGCAGGGTCACGCGCCGCTGGAATTTAATATCCCTCCTCGAGGCTGGGGGGAACTCGGCAGAGCCATAACTGGAGGGGAAATGGGGTTAGAAGCCACCTTTTTGGGCAAAAAGAGAGATGCTAAGCAGGACCCGTGATCCTTTTTTGGGAGCATCCCCCCCTGGATTCTCCAGCACCGCTGGGAAACGCGGCGTGGCAGCGGCTTGTGCTGAGAGGCAAAGTTCTGCTTGGACACCTCAAAAAGTATTGCTAGAAAAGCAGATTTTCCCTAAAAAAAAAGGAGGTTTAACCCCAGAATAGCTCCCAGGTGGGACAGGGTGAAGCAGTGCCTGGGGGTGGGGGCTGGTTTTGGCTGCTGGTGCCAGTACCTGCTGGGCAAGGGGAGCTGGGCAGGGTCTCCAGCTCAGCCTGGGGAAGTGCCACGAGCTCCCACTGCTGTGGAATGAGGCAGGGAAGGGGCCGGTTCCCCCAGCAGGGTGTGGGGCTCGGCTGGCAGAGGGATTTTGGGGAGGGATGAGCAGCTCCAAACATGGGATAAGGGGCTGTAAGACCCGTTGGTGGTGGAATGAGGTCTCAAAGCACCACAGCAGCCTCCTTGCGTGCACCACGCTCTCCAAGAGACCTCGTGTTGTCCCCATCCCATATTCCCACCATTCCATGTGCTTAAATCCAACATTTTCAACCCAACAGCCGAGGATGAAGGCCGGGAGGTGGGGAAGAACCACCCCCGGGGGGTTAATGCAGCTTTATTGGCAGAACCCTTTATTTTGAGGCATCTTCTGATGCACCCAAGGCACGTTCATCCTCCGGCTGCAGGACCTGAGCCCGTCCCCGGGTGCTTCAGGGCACCATGTGCCACCACTTGAAGGCGAAGGGCTTGCGGCGGACGTTGGTGCCGCAGTGGATGTCCCCAGAGAGGACGTGGTAGGAGAAGAAGTCGTCGATGAAGGTGCAGGTGAGGCCCAGGGGCTCCAGCAGCGCCCGCACCCGCTCCTCCAGGCAGCACTGGCCGCCCACCTCTGGGCCGAAGGGTTTGGGGATGCCCAAGTGTCTGCCCAGCACCAGCATGTTCACCTGCAACCAGACCAAAAACCCGGTGTTTTCCACCCAAAAGGTGTGTTTGTCTGGGGCGTGGGTGTAGAAAGAGGGCTCGGAGGGGGTCTCACCATGTTGGGGAAGAGGGCGTCTGCGCGGGAGCCCCCCAGGATGAAGAGCTGGGGGATGTCAATGATGTCCTGCTCGCTCAGGCCCAGCTCCTGCTTCAGGAGGTCGCGGTTCCAGTCGATGCAGCGCTGGGGAGAGCGTGGAGACCTGGAATTGCCACCCCCCAGCCATCCCAGCACCCCCCAAATCCCATGCAGGGACCCCTCATGCCTTGCTGTGTCCTGCCTAGATCCTCAACTCCTCCACTGCCACCCATCCCATCCCTCTGAGCGACCTCCTGAACCATCCCCACCCCGAGCAACCTCCTTCCTTTGGTTCTGACACCTCTGCAGTCATAGAATCACAGAGGTTGGAAGAGATCATCAAGTCCAACCATCACCCAACACCACCATGACCATTAAACGACGTCTCCAAGTGGTTTCATCTCCCAGCAGGACGATGGGTTGGGGTCACCCAGCACCCAAGGGTGCCTGGCTCCTTCACAGCCGCTCCTCTTGCCTGCCAGCTTTCACACCACGTGGTGCAACTCATGCCATCGTTTCTTGCTCTTCCTAAAAATGCTCCTCACACCCAGAAATCACCCAGCAGCAACATCCAAGCCAGGAGAGCAAATCCATGGCTGCAAAGACCCACCTGGACGTGCTTGTTGTCGGTCTTCAATGACTCGTCCACCAGGATGTCGTCGATGCTTCTCCTCTCAGTGCCCTTCAGCCCTGCGTGGGGGTGGGAGCAGAGGGGTGAGGGACACCTGGAAGGGATGCTGGTGGCCCCCACCACGCTGCAGTGATGCCCTCCCCCAGACCCTTACCAACGAGCTGCGTGGCTTCTCCGTGGCCCTGCCTCTGCTCACGCTGGTGGAAGGAAGTGGGGATGGCCAAGGGGAGCCTGAAACCCTGGGGGAAAGAGCCCGGGGGTGGGGTCATGATTTGCTGGGGGGGGGATATTTTATCTCAGCACCCTGCTGAGCACCCCACCCCCAGGAGTTTCAGGGTGCACGGGATGCCACCCAGGGACTCAGTTTTCCAGCAAGCCCCCCCAAAAGATGGAGCATCACCCAACCCCTCCCAGGGAGAACAAGCAAAGTCCAAAATAGACTTTTTT